AAACACACATTCACTGTAAGCTTTCTGTATGTATCAGATAGAGAAGACAAAACCGTCACAATCTGATTAATTTCTAGTTAGTGCGTTGTGGAGTCCGATTTACATTCAGTGACAGTTCCCTTTGGGGCAAGGACCCATCTGCCTGTTGTCTCCAAATCTTCCTCTGTTACAAGGTCGCAACATGCATTTTGTTTGGCTTTTTATTTTTAGTAGCTGCTTCACTGAAATAAATTTCATCATGTCCGCAGCATGGATTTTGAAATTGGAGGCTCCGGATTCAACATGGTCTGTGAGGGCATCAGGTTTCTGTCGTCCTCGGACCAAGCATACCACTCAGCGCAAGCACTATGTTGCAAGAAGGCTCTATTCTATGTTTGACATAATAAAATTTCTGCTGACATGCCTATTAGTCTGTCCACTGTCAAAACATTAAAAGCAAAAAAATAAAAATATGTAATTTTATCCTGCTTTCTTCTTCCTTACACTGAAAACTTGCAAGGATCTGCCAGTCTGCATATGTTTTACACCAGTGGAAGTTGAGTTCTAACTGACATCAAACTCTATACTAATTTGACCTTGTGGCCTTAAAGGTGCTATAATTTTAACCTAAGGTCATTCTGAGCAGCTAAATAATACATTCTGCATTACATTCTTGCTGTTAGCAAATAGCGTAGTATCTAATGTTTCCCTTGATGTATGACCAAGTCAGCTTTATACATCAACCTCACATTTCAGACGTTAACTCCAGAATATCACAAAAGTTTTTTTTTGTAAAATCATGAAACTAAATTAACAACTCTCCACTGTACAGAAAAGTAATAATCCTTTGTTGGCCTTAAGGCTCCACCTTTAAACAAATTAATTCACAAAACATTGCAAGATTTAAAAATTCATTCACAGGATGTGGGCATCTCTGGTTGGACCAGAATGTATTGCCTGTCCTAGATTGCCTGGGGAAGATGCAGGTGAGTTGCTTTCTTGAACTGCTGCAGGTATTAGGGATAGGCACACCCACAGTATGGCTATGAAGGGAGTTCTCGAACTTTTGCCTGTTGAAGGAATGGCAATATGATTCCACATCAAAGTTCATTTTCGTCATTCATTCATGGGCATGTGGGTGTCGTTGGCTAGCATTTATTGTCCATCTCCAATTGCCCTTGAAAAGGTGCTGGTGAAGTGCCACCTTGAACCAGTATAATCCATGATACTTATGCCCACGGTATTGTTAAAAAGGCAGTCCCAGGATTTTCACCCAGTCACAATGAAGGAATGGCAAAATAGTTCTGAATGAGGTTTGGAGGGGAACTTGTAGGTGGTGCTACGTATCTGCTGCCTTCAAGATGGTCGAGTTTGCCGGTTTGAAAGGTGCTGTCAAGGGAGCTTTGGAGAGTTGTTGCAGTGCATCTTATAGATGGTGCACACTGCTGCCATTGTGCATAACTGGTGGAGGAAGTGAATGTTGAAGGTGGTGGATGGAATATTAAGCAAGTTTTGCCCTGGATGGTGGTGTGACTCTATAAGACTTCAGAGCGTTAATAGCTGTTCATGGATTGAGAGGCTCAGCCATAACTTTGTATGGAATAAATTGTTTCTTGAGATGAAAGGAACAAGAGAAACTGTTGTAAAGGAATTAAAACCAACTTGCTGATTAGCCATTCCTGGGAAGAAGGACTTGAAGCAACATAAACCAGCTCTTTCCTGGGAGAGAGGAGGTAACACTGCTTGATAACCTGCTGTCTTGTGACAAAAGATCAATTAATACTGCCTGTAGAAGGAATGTCCTGAGGTAAAGGAAAAGTTGTGTTTTCAATCAGACAACTAACACCAAGTGTGACAAGATTGACAGGGGAGCTACTTCTGATAAAAATGCAAGCTGCAGGCTTGAGGTCTCCAGTGTAATCAATATTGTGGATGACAGGATATAAAGGATCAACAATAATGTCACACCACAGACTCGAAAGAGAGAAAATTGTATAAGAATTTAGCTTTGTCTTGGAAGGTGTTAGGTTTCTTAAGTGTTGAAGCTGCATTCATTCAAGAAAGTATTCCATCACACTCCTGAAACCTGTGTCAAGTAGATAGTAGACAGAAGATGAATTAATTGCTGTGGAACTCCTGATCTCTGATTTGATTTCGTAGTCAGAATATTTCTCATCCAGTCCAGTCTCTGGTCAGTGGTAACTCACAAGATATTGATAATGGGGCATTCAATAAACGTAATGGCATTGAATGTCAAGAGTAAGTGATCTCATTTTCTCTTGTTGCAGAGATCATTGCCTGACACTTGCTTGGCACATATGTTATTTACCACTTATCGAGCCATGCCTGAGTGTTATCTAGTCTCATTGCATGCAGACGTGGGCTACTACCACATCTGAGGAGTTGTGAATGGTACTGAACATTGTGCAACCATCAGCCAATATCCCCAAAAATGGGAATATCATTGATAAAGCAGCTGTAGAGGGTTTGGCCTAGGAAACTGTTCCCTGGAACTCCAGTTTCTGGGACTGAGGCGAATGACCTCTACAGCCACAACTTTGTGCTCACTGTGGCTCTAATCAATGGAGGGGCTTCCCCTGCGAATTTTGATCGACTTAAGTTTTGCTGGAACCCTTTAGTGTGATCAAATGTGACCTTGATGTCAGAGGCAGTCACACTCATCTCACCTCTGGAATTCAGCTCTTTTGTCCATGTATGAATAAAGGTTGTAATGATGTCAGGAGCTGATTGATGTTGGCAGGATCCAAACTGAGTATTGGTGAGCAGGTTATTGGTGGATGAGTGCTGCTGATAACACTGTAGATGACACCTTGCATCACTGTCTGATGATCAAGAGTTGACTGATGGGACAGGTGCTGGCCAGATTGGATTTGCCCTGCTTTTGCCCTCACTGATATTGGACTTTGTCTCAGCACAAATTCTGCAGTAATCACTTGCATCAAAGCTCTCATGGGCAAAAGCATCTGAGTGTCTGTTCGCAACTACTAGACCTTGTGCTATGGAGGAACAAACCAAAATGTTCTGTTGAATATCATCTGGTATAATGTACTGACATTCAAAATAATCCTCAGTCCAACTTGTTAACCTGTAGTGCAATGTCACAGGTAGCCCATAAATGCCAAGGCATTCTGCATTGATGGCACTGTTTTTCTTAAGGAGTTGGCCCGTTGAGAGCTTACAAACCACTACAGTGCCTGAGTCTTATCTCGTAATATCAGAGATGCAAGTCATCAGGTTATATCATTGTTTCAGTGAGCACTGACATTTAAGAAAGCAGAATAGGAGACTTAACTGTCACATTTTTACAAACACCTTGATCATTTGCAGCCAACCTATCTCAACCGTTCCTGTCAGCAGATTTCATGCAGTGTTGCTTGTTTTTCTCCAATTAGAGAAAGTTACTAGGAGGTAAGGTTATCCATGCACTGATGCATCAAGCCTTGCTAAATAAATCCAGATGCTTTATTTTCTTCCACTCACCAGAGAAGAAGGTTCCAGCTTCAACTTGGCTCCTGTTTGGCTCCGTGAGTAATATCATAGTTCATTATGAAAGAGACTCCAAGGTTATCAAAATCTCCCTCCTCATGAGGAGTCACAGACACAGCGAGGGGGTCCCCTCACAGTAAGGAGTCACAGACACAGCGAGGGGGTCCCCTCACAGTAAGGAGTCACAGACACAGCGAGGGAGTCCCCTCACAGTAAGGAGTCACAGACACAGCCAGGAGTGCCTCTCCTGTCACTGTGAGGAGTCACGGACACTGATCAGTGTATCCACTGATCATGGACATTGACTGTCTGAGAGTAATTATTTTTGTGGCCTATGACTAGACTTAGAGCCATGGGCTTAGACTTTCACTATGTACTTTTTATAAATGATGAATAGCACCCTGCCTGTATGTTGGGTGAAGACCTTTTTAATATTATGCTGCAATGAATTGGGCTTTTATTTAACAGCCATTGAGTTCTAATTATAGGAGCTGTTGTATGGAATTTGAGTCATTAATCTGTGGTCTCGTTGCTCTTCTGCAGAAAGAGATCAATTTATTTTACCAGAATTAGTTTGTCCTTCCCTCTCAATATCCTCTACATTTGCTTGTATAAACATTACCACTGATGTCTCTCTGAACCTTGTGCAGTTTGTCCTAATTTGTATAATCATTGCCTTTCAGTGACAATGTATTTCCTTAGCTATGTTTTTATATTAATCTCTCCCAGTGCAATTGGTTTACTGACAGTATTGTACATCCTGTGTGCTGCAAAATTTAATCCATATTGACTTAGCTATTTGTTCCATTGAATTCAAATATTTATGTAACGTCTTGAGTATTGGTCCAACAAAGTATATTGCATAAACAGTGAATGTGTATGCCGGTACTGCAAGCTGTCGTTGTATCTATGTTCATGGAGGGTCTACGGTAGTTCAGTGTAGTTGGATGGTGTTGTTTGTTAACATAGCGCAATCATTCCTTGGTAAGAGCTCAGGCTCTATTGGGTACTCAACTGGTGCACAGTCCCTCTGGAAGTTTCGAAGCTGTAATGAAGGTTTTGGAACAAACCGTTTCCACAGGCTACCTTTAACCTTTGTGACTTGGAACGTGCAAATGTCTGGAAAGACCTGCATAGGTCCTAATGCCCCTCCAGTTCAGGCATCACAGATAATGAGTCATTGTTTTTGTTATTAGGTAAGTTGATCTATACCACTTGCTTATCCGTCAGTCTTTACTTTCTCCAGAAGTAAATTTAATTGTCCTTGGAATCTATTTATATTTCCATTTGAACCCATTGTACTGATCATTAAATAAATTTCTGGTAACACATTATATGCAAGTGCAGTCATTCCACCTGACCTTGCTTCCTTCCCTTTAATCGACAATCATTGCATTCCGTATTATTTCAGATCTTCAGCAGAGTGACTCATTTGTCTGGATCAGTTGCATCAGTTCCTGCCAGGATCTCAGCCCAAAGTCTCCTCTAATGTTTCATCTCTCGCTCCTTTTCAGCATCCAAAGAGCAACAGCTGTCCTCCTGGCTGACCCCTGCTTCCAGCTGAGATCAATACAGTATCTGCTCGGAGAAAATGATCTCTCAGCCCTGGGAGCAACACCCCCACCATCGGAGAAGAAGCATTTCTCCCTCCAAGCATGTGAGTACAGTAGACATAGGAATTGAGACAGGCCTGACAATCTGACCTATTGCAGAGTATGAACTTCTGCATCATGCACTTGCACTTGCTGGAATATTGTAACATCTAAAATGCAGCATGGGGTGATTTCTTCTGTTTTTGTGAAGGAGGGATTGTGTAAATTGTCTGGATTTAATACTGCAATGGTATGGATGGTATAGATTGGAGGTCATTGTTCCTTTTGTTCACTGCCTTGTTTGTAAAAACTCACTTTCTCTTTCTTGGAGAAAAGCTGAGGAAATTCTCAAGGCAGAGATTTAATAAAAGTGTTGAAAACTAACAGGTTTGATAAATGACGGGAGCGTCAGCAGCTAAAGGTTCCAGATTTAGGATAACCAGCAAATGATCTTCAGGATTTCTTTTATGCAGCAAGTCATGACTGGAATCCATTGCATGAAAGGCTGTTGGAGCAGCTTCAGAAATAATCTTCAAAAGGAAATTGGGGAATATAACATTAAAATTTGCAGGTAGAATGAGACTAATTGGATAGTTCTTTGAAAGAGTCTATGCAGGCATGATGGGCCAAATGGCCTCCTCCTGTATGATTAAATGATTATAATTTAACTGATTGGTTATATTGCTATGTGAAGACACAGCTGTGGGACTAGATGCTAAAGAAAGACTTGCATTTATTGACAAACATGAGTTTACTATTTTAACTAAAATAACCAACAAATTGATCTGTTTCAGGTGTTGGTCAAGGCATAAATATTCACCAGGAGAGTTTTCAGATATTGCCATAGATTCCTTTGAGAATATAGTCAGGACCTCAGTTGAGCACTTCATCTGAAAGGTGGCACTTCAGTACTGCACTGAAGTGTCAGCCTGGGCTATGTCTCCAAGTCTGTGGAATGGGACTTGAACTTTATAGCTTGGAGGTTAGAATGTTGTAATTGAACCATAGCTGACACCTGATGGCTTTAACCTTAAAGGGCAATCTATTTAAAATAAAACTTGTTTTGCACAAATTTCCAGGTGCACTTTGTTTCAAGGTCTGTATTTTCTGGTGAAAGAGAATACAGGACCCTACTACCAAACAGCATGACTTGGGTATGGCAACTATCAGTAGCCACTGTGTCTGTGATCAATTTAGGACAAACTGCTCTTTAACCAGAAGCAGAATTTCCTATAATGGAATCACATGAATGTGGTGATGTGAACAAGTGAAGCACCAAAGGACCTTAATTGTTTGGTTTGGGAAGAAACATTGTTAGCAAATAGAGACTAATGTGTATTTATTTATAGTCATTATCGAGATATGGTTACAAGAAGATTAAAAACTGGGAATTGAACATTCAGGGGTATTTGACCTTTCAAAGGGGCAAGCAGAAATAGAAGGGCAGTGGGGAAGCTCTATTAGTACAAGATGTAATTAGTACATTAGCAATAATGTTCTTGGATTGGATGTTGTAGAATCATATAGGTGGAGGTAAAAAATAACAAGGTGAAGAAGACACTGGTTAAAATAATCTGTAGGCTCCCTAACTAACTGTACAGTTGGACAGAATAAATCAGAAGATAAAAAAGGCAGGAAATTATTCATGAGAGACTTTAATCTTCGTGCAGATTGGGAAAGTCAGATTGGCATATGTAGCGTAAGGAAGACTTCATAAAGTGCATTCATGTTAATTTCCTGGAACAATACATTATGGAGCCACCAAGAAACAGGCTATTTTGGCATTGGTTAGCTTATTTAGCTGGATAACTGGTTTGCATTGCAGAGTGACGCCAACAGTGTGGTTCCATTTCCCCATTAGCTACAATTACCATGAAGGACTCTCCTCCTCAGTCTGTCCCTTCACCTGATGCATGGTGACCCTCAAGTTAAACCACCATCAGTTTTCTTTCCATAATGTGAGAGCAGCTCCATGGTCTAACAGGACAATGGCGATTTACTTAGGCTGTTATGGATCTGGTAATGTGTCATGAGGGAGATTTAATAAATGATCTTAAAGTAAAAGCTCCCCTTGGAAACTGTGATCAAACATTGTAGAATTTAGCATCTCGGTTTGACTTAGATCTGAAATAACGTTACTAAACTTAAATAAGGATAATTACATGAGAATGAGGGTAACGTTGACTGGAATGGATTGGGAAAGGAGTTGAGAAGAAAAGATGGTTGATGAACAATGGTAGATGTTTAAGAAAATAGTTCCATGATTCACAGCAAATTTGTGAGGTAAAAGGATTCTAGGAACGGGCTAAACCGATTATGGTTAACTAGGGAAGTTAAGGACATTATTGAATTGAAAGAAAAAGGTTGTAACATACAAAAGTGGCAAAGATTAGTGGTAAATTAGAGGATTGGGGAAGTGTTAACAGACAACATAGGATGAGCAAAAAAAGGGAGAAAATAAACTGAGGTTTATTTACAGAGTTACAGTTTATTTACAAGTTACAGAAAGATGTACAGTAAAAGCTTCTTCAAATATATAAAAAGGAAGTGAGGCAGTGCTAAACGTTAAGCCCTTATAGAATAAGGCTCTGAAATAATAATGGAGAGCCAGGAAATGGCAGAGCAGTTGAACAAATACTTTGCATCAGTCTTCACAGTACAGGATAATAATAGCATTCCGAAAATGCTAAATAATAAAGGGGAAAAAGACCAATAAGTTTCTCAGACCTGGTGGGATGCATCCTAAGACTTCAAAGGAAGTAGCTGTGGAGGTAGTAGAATCCTTGGATTCTGAAAAAGTTTCAGAAGATTAGAAAACTGCCAGTGTAATTTCAAAAAGAGTGGGAAACAAAATACAAGTAACTATTGGCCAGTTAGTTTATCATCTGTTATTGGGAAAATATTAGACTCTATTATGAAGGATGTAATACCAGAGCATTTAGATACCCATAACATAATGAAACAGAGTCAGCATTGCTTCATGAAGGGAAATCATGCCTGATAGATCTATTACAGTTCTTTGAGGAGGTAACAAGCAGGTTGAATAAAGGAAAACCAGTAGATGTATATATTTGGATTTCCAGAAAATAATTCACTAAGGTACTGTGTATAAGGCTACTTAATAAGAGCCCATGGTGTTGAGAATTAGTATATTAGCATGGAGAGGATTGACAACTAGTAGAAGGCATGGAGTTAGCATAAAGAGGTCACTTTCAAGATCGCAACCTGTATCGGGGTTCAGTGCCGGGACCACAATTATTTGCAATGTATAGATAATTATTTACAATATAAATCTGAAGGCAGTCCAGAGCAGACTCACGAGGTTGATCCCGGTATGGAGAGATTTTCTGACGCGAAGAAGTTGATTAGGTTGGACCTATGCTTATAGAATTTTGAAGAATGAGAGGAGACATTACTGAAACATGTGAGATTCTTAGGGAGCTTGACAGTGTATATGTGGAAAGGTTGCTCCCCTTTGTGGGGAATCTGGGACCAGAGGGCATAATCTTAAAGTAAGGAGACACCTGATTAAGAAAGTGATGAGATGAAATTTTTACTCAGAGGGTGATGAACCTATGGAAGTCTTTACCACAGAGGGCTGTCATTGAGTATATTCAAGGCTGAAATGGACATTTTTAATCAGTAAAGGAATCGAGGGTTAGGGGGAAAAGACAGCAAAAGATGGTTTAGGATTATCAGATCAACATGATTTCATCAAATGGCAGAGCAGTCCCAGTGGGCCAGATTGCCTACTTCTGCTCCAATGTGTTATGATGTTATAGCTTTGGTAAGTTTTAATGAGATCCCCCGTAACTTGGTCACGAGACAAAGTTCACGAGACACAGTGATGATTAGGATGAGATATTATGTCTAGTTTAAGGTTTTCTCATTTTGAGATTAATATTATGGTCCCATGATTTTGCTGTTATATAGTAGTAGAGATCATGGAGCTGCCATATCTTGTCTCAGTTGGTTTGTTGGGTTGGGGTTGTGTATTCCTACAGATCTCACACACTACAGTCACGATGAGTTTATATTGGATATTCAATTCAACGGCAGAGCACCACCTAAACAGTGTGCTTTGATCTGGATAGTATTGAGCTTCTGAAATGTTGCATTTGCAAAGTCCAGCTGAGTGATAGGTTGGCACTTTATCAACCTGTTGCTTAGTGATGGAGACTGTTGGAACAGATGTACCTCTCATCTGTTCTTAGAAGCAGCCATGTTGACACAGTGATGACGATCAGCCTCTAATCAATGATAACCTCCAAGGTGTTATTATTGGTAGCCTTGGCAATAATGATGCAGTTACAGATCAGCAGGAGATGGCTCAGCTTTTTCCTGTTGGGGTCTGGACTTTCCTTGGTGCTCAATGCCATGAATGTTAGCTGTAACTTAGCAGTGAAGTCTGGATTTTTGCGAAATGTGTTTTGGCATAAGCTGCTTCAAAATCAGGAGTTATGAATGAGACTGGACACTGTAGAATCAACAGCCACTGCCAGTCCTTTCTCACCAAACCACTGTATGTCTCACTCTATTTAATTCTTCTCAACCTAACCATGTTCTCTTCTATTCCTTCCTCCTCTTGGTCTTGGCTCCCTTCTGAACTGCAACTGCAACCACTCTGTGCGTTAGTAAGTTTCATACGCTCACCTCTCCTGAGTTCTGAAGAAGAGTCATACCAGATCTGAAATGTTAACTCTTCTTCTTTCTCTCTTCGCAGATGCTGCCGGGTCTGCTGTGTTTCACCAGTATTCTCTGTGTTTGTTTCAGATTTACAGTATCTGCAGTATTTTTCTTTTATCCTCCTGAATTCCTTATTGGGTGTTTTGTTAACTATGTTAGATTTATATCTCCTAGTTTTGGCCTACCCTATACTTACACTACTGAAATGCTTCATAGCATTACAGGGAAAAGAGCTCCAGTCTGTTCAAGAGATAACAAGGTGTAGAGCTGGATGAACACAGCAGGCCAAGCAGCATCAGAGGAGCAGGAAAGCTGACGTTTCGGGCCTAGACCCTTCTTCAGAAAAAGGGTCTGAAGAAAGGTCTAGGCCCGAAACATC